ATATATATACTATAAATTATAGAATATTAAATTTGAAAAGCGTGCAGCATAAATTAGCATAGATTTAGTAAATTTTGTAAATAGTCATGCATCTGTTAAAGCTATCCCAATCTTGGCAGATTTAGTACAATCTGGAAAATAATGTAGAAAAGATTAAAGGAAGTGAAAACGTCAATTTAATACCTAAAGAATATAAAAAGAGAAATATAATATATATAACAGTGAAGTAAATAAATGCACAAATTAAAAGTAGAGATTTCTGAAATTTTCCCGATTCTCAAATTTGCATAGAGTTTCAGTTGAATATTGCATCGCAAACAAAGCTCGGTTAGATAAATTAAACAGGCAGTTTTTACCTTATAGGTAAAAGAAAAAAGATACATAGGTAATTTACCACTTGACGTTTTCGCTTTTCCTCTAGGTTTGCGTAAACTATACATTAAAGGTCAAACCGCGCGCGGTGATCGGTTTTGCGTCCGCGTCGCGTCGTCGGAACTAACTCCTCGCAAATGTGACGTTCGCTCGATTACGCGTGTACGCTCAATCCTCGGCAACAATCCTACCATTCGATCGTCACTTCTGTGCGTCAACGCGTTCACGTGCGTACGTATGCACGTAACGCACGCACGCACGCACGAGGCGAATGATCGCGCGTGCAATCGAGTGATCGTTCGGAGAAAGATCTTACGAGAGAAAAGGCACGTGTGTGTTAGGCTTTTTTTATGGCTTTCTAGAGATATAACTGCGAACGGTCCGGCCTCTGACGTGCGTTTGTCGACAATGGTGCATTTGCGTAGGCGTGTCAACATTATTATAATGAATATTTAATAGCGGCGACACGATCGCCAATATCGTTAAAAACCTGCTTCTCATAATATACATAATGACACGATGTATACATCATAAGCGTAAACGAAAATAAAAAAATATCGAATTTATATGTGCACAGCGTTGTGTAACAGTAGTTGGACAGAGATCCAGAGACTTCGGAAATTTGATTATTCTTGATTAATAGCCGTGCAAGATCATTCAAATACGATAGCATTCCTAGAAAAACTTATCGATTGAAAGTGAAGATTGATGAGAAGGAAACCGTGTGTTATTTAAATCAATGCTCGAAAAAATACGTCTCTAGATATCTGACACACATAATGCGTAGACATTAATAAATGAAAATACTAATGTTCCATCGTTTGTGAAGCTTCAGGAATAATACACAATACAAGAACGATATAAAAACAATCCTATAAAAATTTATATGTGGATTTAATGAAATTAATGCGGAAGAAATGACTGTATTATACAGAATTGTCTGATATTAGTAGCCTTATATGTTGATATTCGATATTTTTCATTTGTTGACAAACAAATTTTAATATTGGATCTTTCCATTATTAAATGGAAATTAGGGAAATGGTGCATAATATTTTTAACCGATGGATGATCGTTCCGTGACGACACACATCAATTTATTGGCACGTTTATGAAATTTCCTCAGACGTCATTCAGGTGTGGTAGAAGCGTATGTCGACATCACGAATCGCGTCGTTTGAAGGCACGAATAACTGGGGACTCCCGAGTGGCCGAGTTGAATTCTACCGATCTCCTTAGCCAATCCGGTTCCAAAGTGTGGATTCCCAGACTGGGAGTTTCCAAGAGTAATCTTCCGAGCAAAAGAACCGTTCGCAGCATCGGTGAATCATGTTCCTAATAACGCGATAATGCAACCCGTGGACGCACTTAATTCTCATTTTGCATCGTAAACATTCTTTACTATATCAGGGGAAGTACGCTGTAATGTGGACTTTACGCTACCTAAATAAATAAGTTATGCAGTTATGTATGATTAGTTTTAAATAAGTAGATAAACATGTTTATTTTGTTCTATGATTTAAATTTTTTTATAGTAAAATTCTGTTTACAGAAATTACACAAATATTAAGATCTACAGTTTCGATTCTATATTGTTTAGAAAAAAATTTTATTAAGAAAAAGCGAAACACTTATGTGTTTTACTTCTCTTTAAAAAATATATAGTTGGCTACAATAAAAAGTAGCGTCAACCATGAAAATTTACAAAATTTTACAGATAGAATGCAAATATATGTGACTTTTGCTGTTTTCCAAATGCTAATTTAACATTTTAAGAATCTTTATTTTAGACCGCATATGTGAGAAACACAAACTCAATACTAGAAATTTAAAATGCCTACTACGATCGAAGCTGAATCTTTATTGCTTTAAATAATTCAATCTTGAATTACTAATATACTACTTGAATTACTATATATGTACTTGCATATATAGCATATTGTAGTCTTTTCGAATTGCGCGCCGAATTGTTTTTCCGGACTTATAAACTTATTAACATTTTACTTAAGTCGGTTTATTCCCATTTATTCATTATGATTATGCAACTAGATATTTGCATATTATTTATCGCTTATATTGTATAAAAATACTGCGGAATTATCCTCTTGATGTATAATCAACAATGTCTACGCATATATCTTTTTCATTAATTGATAGCCCATATCGATTGCTTAGTGACCCTTGAGAGAGTAAAGCGATTAATATGTCGATGTGTTTATTGAATAGCCGATATATATCTGCATTTGTTCCTAGAATAATTACACTATCAAAATAATAACGGAAACGAAATAGCAGTTAAATAATTGAGCCACTGCTGTTCAAGATTTGTAAAGATGACACTTAAAAAAACTTAAGCAGTAATCGAATTGATCAATCGCAGAAAAGACCGATATAACATAAGGCTATAACATAAGCAGTAGTAAATTCAACATATTGATTTCCTTATACTACTATTTATGACTTATTGCTTCAGTTTTATTGTATGCCTTAAGCAATAAACAGATCTATATTTTTAATTTGTTATTGCTTATGTTATTGTTTTATATCTCACTGTGATTGGCCGATTCGCTTACTGCCTTGCATCTTTCTGTGTGTTATAGCTTTTAATTTTGAACATCGGCGTTTACGTCTATTTTTTCCTTTTTCTTAATAGAGATAGAAATAAAAGGAAGGCGTATAAACGTCACCACACTTCAAGTTAATGCTCACACATTGTCAGATTTAAGTCAATGGTACATACCTATATAGAAATACGTAAGCAAAATATTTTATTTGGTATTGCTCACGTTATTGCCTTATGTTCTCTACTATAATTCTGCACTTACGTCTTACTGCCTTATACTTTTCTCTATGTAACTTTTATATAAATCTTGGATAGTGGCGAATTAAATAATTAATAATCATAAATAAAATAATAATTAATGATATTTAAGAACAAAATACAATTATGAAAAGTAGAACAAGAAAATATATCTCTGACTTGAAAGTTTAAACCTTGATTTAAACATTCCGATTATGCATTTTAAAAAACTTTATCTAAAAGACTTCGTTAAACTTTCTTGAAATGTGATTAGTAGTTGATTTTATCTTAAAAA